TTCTTCAAAAAAAACTTCAGACTAAGAACTATCGACCGCCCTTTTAAGATTATAGTTTTAATGTGGTTCAGGAAATCAGTGAAAACCACATATTCAGTTGAAAACACTTGCAGAGTTGGAAAATAAAGTAACTTTGCCCAAACTTCTTCAAAAAACTTTAGTCTACTGAGACTATGAACGAACTTTCAAAATTATAGTTATAATGGTTCAGGAAATCAGTGAAAAGCACGTAGTTGAAAACACTTGCAGAGTTGGAAAATAAAGCTACTTTAAAGACCAAATTTTTTCCCGATAATTTTTGAAGATGGATTTTYTATTCTTTATAGTTCCCCAGCATTAGGGTCACAGGCTATAGTTTATATAAGACTGAGGCCTTGTTAGCGATATTTTTATATATAACTGTATTATCTCGACGAAACACTTGATAGTGGAGGGCTTGTATACACCATCCCTAATAAACCCCAAACGAAATTACCGCGAGGCACAACTAGGGATGTGAAAAGTGAACTGATAACCCATTACAAATCAAGCCGAAGGTGGGGGCTGGGCTGGGTTGTTTCAGGGTTCGATCTGTGAGTTAGTGTGCCCTGACTTTGATCAAGCCAGAGGTTGTTTCAGGGTTCGATCTGTGAGTTAGCCATACCCTGACTTAGATCAGCCCAGAGGTTGTTTCAGGGCTGGATCTGTGAGTTGGCCATGCCCTGACTTTGATCAGCCTAGAGGTTATTTCAGGGCTGGATCTGTGAGTTGGCCGTACCCTGACTTAGATCAGCCCAGAGGTTGTTTCAGGGTTCGATCTGTGAGTTAGCCGTGCCCTGACTTTGATCAGTCCAGAGGTTGTTTCAAGGTTGGATCAGTGATTTAAACCGTTCCCTGACTTTGATCAGCCCAGAGGTTGTTTCAGGGTATAAATAGACAAAAATTGAAGGGCTTTTTGGGAAGTATCTTACCTCGGCTGCTTTTCTGTAACGGAACGACGGGTTGTCACCAAMGGAGTTCAGCATTTGGTAACTCATCTCACCGCTACAAGTAACTCCACTGCCTCCAATAAATACCTCAAGACGATCAACATCTTGACAGACTTTTTCCTTCAGGTARCGGTCTTCTAACATATGTTTACGGGATGCAACATAGTGAATCGTAGMTTGAATCAGTAACAAAGACAGAACGAAACCCTTCATGTTACCCGGGGTATGATGTAGGGTGAAAAACTCCAACTCTGCTTGACTTCTTGGTCTGTCTAATTGTGGACTGTGTGAGCCGTGTGGAAAGCTTTTAGTGGGCTCAGTATTGCAAGGGAGRATTAGTCAATTACACCTCGTGGCATGTGCCTGTACACTTTGCATGTTTCTATAGTAACGTCGTGTCAGTTTTATGTATTAATAAATTGAATTCTGTTCGGTGAGAGTATTTTGATGTTGTGATTTTGTTTTTGTTTGATACTGAATCTGATGCAGCATAGTGAATCAAAGGCTTGTGGTTCGTATGAGAGAAAGAAATAATGAAAAATAAGGTGAAAAACGGAGTTAACT